CGCGCACCACCAGTCAGGCCTGCAAGGACAGAAATTTGAAGACAAGAGAGAGTCACGCATGAAACATGGCATGCCATAAAACCCAGTGAGTGTTGTTCCTTTACTGTATCCTGTATCATATGTTGCATGTTACTGTATCAGTGATGGCGGGATGCACACTGCTACATCAAGATCACTGACGTTCAGCGATTCAGTCGCTTAATTCATAACAGCTATTTTGGATGTTTAGCGAATCGGAACCACTTTCCACGGATGATCCATGCGTCATATATCTACATAGTTAATTCCGATTCGATGATCATGAACATTTGAATGATCTGTTAGCCTATCGGGTCGCGGTAGCAGCTTGTACCGAATATCGACTGAATGAAATTTGACGCCGCTTTTTAGTCATATAGCAGCGACAGATCGGCCTTGGGCACAAATGGCGTCGTGCGGTGTACCTATTTGAGAATGGATCCTTGGCCTTCGGCTAGTCGAGTCGACGTTTACCACAAGGTTGCACAAGAGACTATTTTCATAACACGTTTACTTCACTGAATTGTGTCTCACATTGCAATGCGGTAATATATATTCTTTGCTGGCAGGGGCGGTGGGGTAGCCTTGTGGTTGGCGTTGGCTCCTCACGCCGAAGACCCGGTTCTGATTCCCCACATGGGTATAATGTGTGAAATCCATTTCTGGTGTCTGGTGATATTGCTGGAGTATTGCTAAAAACGGCGTAAAACTAAAAACTCACTCACTCACTCTTCGCTATCAACTCATACATTTTTAACAATCAATCCACTTGTCTGGCCCTGATTATATTATTTACAGACGGCCACCATATAGCTGGAATATTGCTGAGTGCGGCGTTAAACAACCAACCAACACCTTTTGAATGTTATCCAAACGAATGCTATTTCTGGATAATATCTGGATAACATGCGCTAAACATACCCTGATATAGCCGTACTTTTAGGCTACAATGATATCTTTCTAGGATATATGTACAGGATCTATACCTGCTAAAGCCGATGTTGGTGTCCGTGACGGTCAGTGTTTATGGACAAAGGTCAATGTGAAATCAGGCCACCACGGCTATCGACATACCAGACATTCCTATATTGGGCGCTTGTATCGACACATCTCGCGGTTGAAACTTGCCAGCGGTAATGCTGCTGCCGTTGTTACCATGGACACCTGTAGTCGTCGTTACCATGCTGCTGCAGCTGATGTTGATGCTGGCAAGTCCTGGGATATCGTGTATTCCATTTGACTACTTTAAAATTACATACCAATCATTAATCACTTACCTCCAAAAAGCACGCTTTGTAACATGGAAAGATGGTTCCTCTTTGGAACCGATGTTTGATTTAACTCATTCAAAGATGTTGTTCTATGCAGGCCAGTGCAATCAGATTGCAGAAATATCGAGATATATCACATTAGTGAGTGAGGGAGTTTAGTTTTACGCCGCACTCAGCAGTATTCCAGCTATATGGCGGCGGTCTGAAAATAATCGAGTCTTGACAAGACAATCCAGTGATCAACAGCATGAGCATCGATCTGCGCAACTGGGAACCGATGACATGTGTCAACTAATTCAGCGAGAGCCTGACCACCCGATTCCGTTCGTCGCCTCTTACGACAAGCATAGTCGCCTTTTGTGGCAAGCATGGGTTGCTGAAGACCTATTCTACCCCGGATCTTCACGGGTCTATATCACAGTAAGCATGCGTGGTGTTTACGTGGCACGTGTCTGATGGTAACTTCATTGTTTTTGTTGATGTCTAGCCTGTATTTACATTATTGTGAGTACAGCGTAAGTCGTAACTTTGGTGAAAACGTGCACAAATATGTCATAATCATAAATCTTACAGCTGACTTCGGAATGAACATGTACAGCTGAATATATGATGGAACATGTACAGCTGAATACGGGATGAACATATACAGCTGAATACGGGATGAGCGAACGCTTTAAACACTAGGCTACCCCATCACCCTTTACGAGCTGAACCCTTTACGTATACCCAACCCTCGACAGTCAGGTTTGTAAATTCCGTACAGCTCCTAAACTCCATGACACATTGTCAGTCACACGTGTTACTCGTAGTCATTAGATGATGTGAAATGAGAATGACTCATTCGTGAGTGTTTAATGTCCAGCTAGGTTATAACATATTACCCAACATCTGGTGCCACGATCATGATAACATGGTTGGTATTATTTGCCTGATCGTTACTTGTGTCGACTCACAATATCCATTTCCAAGGCCATCAGTTTGGTTATTACATTCAGAAACGTTTACTGCAGTTTCTTATGTGGAGTGTTACATTATTCATGTGAATAGGCTTCTGCAGGGTAGGATGCAAAATGCAAAAAAGCAAATGGTTTTAAATTATTTTCTTAAAATAAATCAGATATAAAATGTTTCGTGATTTTTGTCTTACGATATTCACGGTGTAAGTTTTGATTGTTTATTGTGTAATACCGTACTTAGCAATGTAACAGCTGTATAGCGGCGGTCTGTAGGGGACACCGGGGTCGAATTGTAACACTTTTACTTAAGTTCATGTAATTCGATATTAGTCGACCGCTCACAAAGTTTATCGGTACTAACTAATACATTGGCTTCTTGGCTTTAAACCTCGGAGTCATTTAAAGTTCACGATCATGTTGTTACAAAGTTATTACGTATCAAATGCAATGACTGCAAGTGTTACAATTGACCCCGAGCACGGGGAAATTGTAACAGGTGGATGGGGCAATTGTAACAAAGAAGGTTCGAATGTAAGAATCTGTTTATTTTCCAAATAAAATCAAAATGAAATGTGGAAAGATGTTACCTTGATCAATTGAGGTGGAAATGGATTAACATTAAACCATTGTCACCATCGACATTTAAAATGTTTTTAGTTTAAAATTCTTGTTTTCGTATGCACAAAATATAATACAAAGACTAACACCAAAACGTTCACCCGAGGGCTGATACTATCAACATAAGACTGAAAATGTTCTACTATGATGAAACTAGTAAAGAACTAACATAACACCGACATCATAATTTGCTTCATTATCATAACATAAGGGAAAATTACATGGGGGCAGTTGTAACACAGTGTTACAATTGCCCCCGATGCTAGTAGCCATGTTTCATGCCACGTCACATGTTAACAACTTTGGGCTTCTCAAATATATCTACCATAAAATAAGTCGTAATACCTCAATTTTACACTTGAAAAGTTAATTTCATACCAAGCAACATTTACTGCATTAAGAACGTTTTATTACGTTTTGTGAAAAATTTACTTTCTTATGTAAAAAGAATTTCCTTTACTGTATCTCGTCATGAACGAGCAGCTGAAAAACGCCCGGATGTGTATCGCAGTAAAGCAAAGGGAAATAACTCTACTCACCTCAATGCTTGAGCGAAAACTTTTAGAGTAATCGCCCTTGTTACAATTGCCCCGTGTTACAATTGACCCTATATAATCGAATCTGAACCAGATTAGCTAGAGAACGCCATTTTTAGCTTCAAATCACACAAGCTGGATTGAATGACATACCTAACCCAAGTCACCGAGATAATTGGTCTTCAGCAACTCATACTTGCAGAGGCGACGAACCGGATCGGTTGGTTAGGCTCTCTGAATTTGGTGACAAGTCATCGCATCCCAATTGCGTAGATCGATGCTTATGCTGTTAACATGGGGTGACGACCAGCCCGTTGCTCCCGCTACTGACAAAACAAGCCCTATCCTAAGTGACGGTTTTGCCGTAGTGTCCCAGATCCAAAGATCCGAATCTTTGATTTGGGTAGGAAGAAGGCTCGTGTTGTCTCGTGTTGTGTGGATTGTCTGATGCAGACTCAATTATTTACAGCCCATAGAGCTGGGATACTGCTGAGTGCGGTGTTAAAAACACTCAAACAAGTCACCGAGTGTGGACACCCTATCCATTATTTGCCACTTACGACAAACCTCCGAATTCCCCCCCTGAATACGGTTTGAAATGAAAACATATTTCGAGTTCCTGTATTTATTCTCACAATATCTGATGGCAAATACCTGAACAGAGATAGTACATGTACAGATACATACATGTTTACCTCTTCATATTCACTAACAAAACACACTGTTCAAATACGTATTTACCCCTCAATTTCAACAATATAGATAATATATACCAATAATTAATATATGCTATATTTATATATTTACACTGTTTCAGATACTCCCTTTGGCAAGATGCCGGTGCTGACAATCGATGGCAGAGAGTACACCGAGAGTCTGGGCCATTGCCAAATTCCTTGCCAAAGAAATTCGGTAATCCCTAAAATTGTACTTCTAACATTTACATAACAATAATGATAATATAACGTACCATATTCATTAAATACCGTTGGGGCGGTGGGGTAGCCTAATGGTTGAAGCGTTGGCTCTTTACGCCGAAGACCCGGTTCGAATCCCCACTTGGGCACAATGTGTGAAGCCCATTTCTGGTGTCCCCGCCGTGATGTTGCTGGAATATTGCTAAAAGCGGCGTAAAACCAAACTCAGTCAGTCAGTCAGTTAAATACCGTTGTTATTGAAATAACAACATGAAAAGAAGTAATGTTGATTTAAGTTCGATAAACTGAAAAATACGAAATAGAATTTAAAATCCCGATCGTCCTATCAGTTCAAAACCGAAGATCATCAGAAGTCACTGGTTCCTTCAAGAATTTGGAATTTACTTTCACTTTGGGCTCGTGATTAATAGATTTATACTTGCTGTTGACGTTTGGGAAGGCCATTTCAGTTATATCATGGCATTTTATAATTTTATATTCATGCTGTTTGTTTTGTTTGTTTGTTTGTTTGTTGTTTAAAGGCCGCACTCAGCAATATTCCAGGTATATGGCGGCGGTCTGTAAATAATCCAGACTGGATCCATCCTTTTGTGGGAGAGCAATCCGAAAGTGATACAGTTCTGCAGGTTTTGGGAGGAAAATAAGCAGGGGAGGATGCTGACAGACAAAGAACCATAATCTAGGAGGATGGAGGTCAACCCCCCAATCATAGGCTTCCGACAAGGCTAAGAGGCCAAAGCCTGTACTGCGAACTGGAAAGCCAGTAGACGATAGGATAACCTGGTTTCTACTTTTACTTTTTTACTTTCTATCCCAATACAGGGTTTTATGGCTCCAACAACCAGGAGGAGTACGAAATAGACCAGATCACCGGCATGTGCCATGACCTCTTTCTAGAATTAGTCAAAGAGTTCTTTGAACAGGATAGTGACCGGAAGGTAAGAACACCATGCAGTTGCAAAAGTTGACAAAACCTGAAAAGCAAAGCGTGTTGGTTTGATGAAAAGTGTTCTATCATGTAGTACATGTATTATTAATGTTGCTTTAAAACTATATATCTAAAAATCTTGTGTCAGATTAATATTTCAGGATTGAAATGACACGTAGTGCATGTTTTATTAATGTTATATGTGACTGTTAAACTACACATCTAAAACATGTTGTGTCAGATTGAAATGAGGCATAGAACATGTTTCATTAATGTTTTATAAGTAACTCTAAAACTATGCATCTCAAACGTGTTAAATTTCAGGATTGATATGACATCATGGACATGTTTTATTTATGTTTTATGAGTAACCATACAGCTATATATAATTCGAACATTTTCTATCAGATTATTATTTCATAACTGAAATGACACATAGAACATGTTTTATTAATGTTTTATAAGTAACTGTAAAGTTATACATCTCAAACATGGTGTGTCCGATTTCATAATTGAAATGAGGGCATACACGTAGAACGTTTATGAATGCTTTTAAAGTAACTGTAAGTTATACATCTCAAACATGGTGTATCAGATTTCATAATTGAAATGAGGGCATAGAACATGTTTTATTAATGTTTTATAAGTAACTATAAGTTATACATCTCAAACATGTCGTGTAAGGTTTCATAATTGAAATGAGGGCATAGAACATGTTTTATTAATGCTTTTAAAGTAACTGTAAGTTATACATCTCAAACATGGCGTGTAAGGTTTCATAATTGAAATGAGGCATACACGTAGAACGTTCTATTAATGCTTTTAAAGTAACTATAAGTTATACATCTCAAACATGGCGTGTAAAGGTTTCATGGTTCGTATGACATTATTAAAGTCATGAACTATTATACCAGGAATAATTGCGAAATATGCCACCTGGTTTAATTCATGCACTGTAAGGAGATATGACATGTAGTGGTTCGAATCCCAAATTTACTTTGATTCTCATCCATGGTTTTATGCCACTGTATCATTAGTCATGCATCCCACGAGATAGGGATTCCTCCATCACTTAGTTGAAACGCCATGATTCAAAAAGAAATTCTTTTGCAGGCGACGTTCAACTTGTCAGAATATAAAACAAACATATATTTTTATGTCATAGGCAGAAATACAGCAGAACCTGAAAGAAAAAACAGAAACCAGAATTGTCGGAAACCTCGAGAAAGTATTGTCTGCCAAGGGTAACGGTTATTGCATTGGCGAGACGGTAAGCTAAATCACTCAAATCAAATTTATATAATTCAGTAATAAACTGATGATGCACTATAATGATCATTACCATCATTACGACACACATGCCTATGACAAGGAGAACAGTTTTGTGTGTTTTATGGTTACAAAAAGTAACAGTGCGATCTACTTCAAGAAAGAAGTGTTTAATGGTTGCACTTGTCCCTATTCACCGATGTTATTGGTTTGTAACGTCAGTCATTTCAAATAACGATCGGAACATGAAACTCTTACCAAAATATTCTTACTTACGATTCCCAATGACACTGGATGCGAAGTCTACCTAAGTGGTGTTGTCTTATCTCCAGGGATATTTTTGGTGTCAATTCCATTTTCTGAAAGCATTTGATTACTGCACGTTCTTCATGTTTGTCCATTTTTCAAACGTCACAAACACCTGATTGTTTTAACAAATGGTTTAAGCGAAACAATCTAGTCAACTGACGTAGGTGTCTGTGAATATATATCTCTGTGGAAGGCCTGTAATATCCACACCAACAAATTCACTATTAACTAACACACACACACACACACACACACACGCACGCACGCACGCACGCACGCACGCACGCACGCACACACACACACACACACACAAAAAATAACAATCAACCATCCATGGTTGTTGACTCAGAAGCGCAAATAATATGTAACTTGTAATATACTCATGCCCATAATGGTTGTCACCCCTTCAATTTTTTAATTGGATAGGGGGTGTGCGGTGAACTGTGAGGTGGGGTGACAACCATTATTGACATGAGTATATTTAAGAAACGGTCACAATCAGAGGATGTTTGGTAGGAGCTAGGAACGAGCTAGGATTTATTGTATATCTATTGCATATAAATGATATGAATGCAGTTGTTAACGACCCGTAAAGATGTGGGTTAAATTGGTCTTTTTGCAAACCATGCTTGTCCTAAGAGGCGACTGAAGGGATCGGATGGTCATGATGTTGATCACTGGATTGTTTGGTTCAGACTCAAATATTTACAGACCGTCGCCAATACAGCTGGAATATTGTTAAGTGCGGCGTAAAACAACAAGCAAACAAAACAAACAATGCTTAAACTTCTTCGTCACATATTCTTTTTATCGAAATAAAATGTCCACTCGTGACAGATACGATAGCCACAATTCTTTTACTTTTATATTATTCAGCACATTAGCTTCTAACCTGCATTATTGAAAACCTTTCTTCTAACTTCCTCCATAGCACTATCTTCATATATACAGAAGCTCTTGCATAACCGATCGTTATAACAAGGTGCAGCTATATATTTTAACAAATCTTTCAGTTGAGCCTCGGTGACCTTGTTATCTACGATACCCTTGACGGGAGGGTAGAAGATGACATCATCGACAAGAACCCCAATGTCAAGGCCGTCGCGGAACAACGTCAAATCCAACGACAGAATCGAGGCCTATCTGGCAGCAAGGGTCCCTACGGCCGTAGCGGTGTTCTCCAGTGGAATACGACTCTTGTGTCCACAGTTATCACTGGTTACCTAACAGAGATGTATATCCTCTTGCATAATCCATAATGGAAATTTATCATCGGATCACACACAGATTGGGAAATGGCAGCAAACGAGACCATACATGTCACAGCCGTATATATGTTCATGTGTATTCAAATCTTATATGAAGGCATACTGACTTGTCTCATGACTTCAGTAATAGACGTGGTGATAACAGGGGTGGATACAGCTTTTTGAGAAAGGTGTGTGTGCGTGCGTGCGTGCGTGCGTGTGTGTGTTTGTTTGTGTGTGTGTGTTGTGTCACATTATTTAGAAAGGAGGGTTGCACACTTCATTTTTCACCAGAGTTTCAATGGTCATTTAATAAACTTTCAGGACAAAGGGGTACCGCACCCTAGCGGCCCCCTCTGGATCCGCCTATGGATGGAAGGAGCGCTAACTTTCAGCCGCTTGTAATCCACCAATCATTGGCTCAGGTTGCTCCGTTCTCAAACCTCCGCCCGGAGAGCGGAAGGTCGCGGAGTTCGATCCCGGTCGCGTCATACCAAAGACGTTAAAATATGGTACTTGTTGGCCCTGCCTGAAGATCGGCATTAATGGGTATAACAAGGACTGGTCGGCTCGGAGTCAGTATAATGTATCTGAGTGGAGTATTCATGCTTAACTGCGGCGTGGTATCTCAGTGAGCTAGCACTATAAAACCAGCTTACGTCTGGGCTAGTACAAGCAGCCACACATACACGCATGCGTCGTTATATGAGCGAAATATTCTTTAGTAGGACGTTAAAGCCCCATTTCACTTCACCTCGTTCTCAAGCCAAAATGGCGGCTGAGGGATATTGAATTCGACAGCCGGCTGGCTATTCTCAACCGTTCGTAGCATTACGAACTTCTGAAACCATTTTAACACATGACATTGACTAAGATCAAAGCTAAGAATTCTTAGGGCTACGAACGTTTCTAGAATAGAAACCTGAATATGTAATTACCTGAATACGTAATACCTATAGGAACTGTGTTACATTAGACACATCCATCTGATTAAAATGTATTGTTATATACTGAATAAATTCGGAGTGAGTGAGCGAGTTGAGTTTTACGCCGCACTCAGCAATATTCCAGCTATATGGCGGTGGTCTGTAAATAATCGAGTCTGGACCAGACAATCCAGTGATCAACAGCATGATCATCGACCTGCGCAATTGGGAACCGATGCCATGTGTCAACCAAGCCAGCGAGCCTGACCACTCGATCCCATTAGTTGCCTCTTACGACAAGCACGGGTTACTGAAGGTTCATTCTAACCCGGACCTTCACGGGTGGAATATTTTCGGAATTCTTGTGTCTGTCAAAATCTTTTTCAAAGTTCTGAAACATTTTAAAATAGTTATTAAAATACTGAAATATTTTAACGTAATATCTACACAAAGTTATGTTTTACTGCAACATATTATGTATGCACTTTCTTCGTAAATGGGCCAGTGGCCATACCACGAAGAATAGACTTGACTTGCCATTCAAGTCCAAGTAGATCATACCAGACTATGCAGTCCGTGTAGGCCATGCTACAATATGCAATATTTAGTCTACTACACCAAGCAGTATTTAGTCTGGGTCGGTCACACTACAGTATGCGGTATTTAAAGGCTGGGTCATACTACACTATGCGGTATTTAAGGCTGGGTGGGTCATACTACACTATGCGGTATTTAAAGCTGGGTGGGTCATACTACACTATGCGGTATTTAAAGCTGGGTGGGTCATACTACACTATGCGGTATTTAAAAGCTGGGTGGGGTCATACTACACTATGCGGTATTTAAAGCTGGAGTGGGTCATGGTGGTATTACGCTGGATATGCGTGGGTGGGTGGGTCATACTACACTATGCGGTATTTAAAGCATACTACACTATGCGGTATTTAAAGCTGGGTGGGTCATACTACACTATGCGGTATTTAAGCTAGATGGGGTCATACTACACTATGCGGTATTTAAAAGCTAAGATTGGGTCATACTACACTACATGGGTATTTAAAGCTGGATTATCATACTACACTGCGGTATTTAAAAGCTAGCTGGGTCATACACTACACTGGTCACGGTATTTACTGGGTGGGTCATACTACACTATGCGGTATTTAAAGCTGGGTGGGTCATACTACACTATGCGGTATTTAAAGCATACTACACTATGCGGTATTTAAAGCTGGGTGGGTATTTAAAGCATACTACACTATGCGGTATTTAAAGCTAGATGGGTCATACTACACTATGCGGTCATACTACACTATGCGGTATTTAAAGCTGGAGTGGGTCATACTACACTATGCGGTATTTAAAGCTGGGTGGGTCATACTACACTATGCGGTATTTAAAGGCTGGAGTGGGTCATACTACACTATGCGGTATTTAAAGGCTAGATGGGTCATACTACACTATGCGGTATTTAAAGCTGGGTGGGTCATACTACACTATGCGGTATTTAAAGCTGGGTGGGTCATACTACACTATGCGGTATTTAAAGCTGGGTGGGTCATACACTACACTATGCGGTATTTAAAGTTGGGTGGGTCATACTACACTATGCGGTATTTAAAGCTGGGTGGGTCATACTACACTATGCGGTATTTAAAGCTGGGTGGGTCATACTACACTATGCGGTATTTAAAGCTGGGTGGGTCATACTACACTATGCGGTATTTAAAGCTGGGTGGGTCATACTACACTATGCGGTATTTAAAGCTGGGTGGGTCATACTACACTATGCGGTATTTAAAGCTGGGTGGGTCATACTACACTATGCGGTATTTAAAGCTGGGTGGGTCATACTACACTATGCGGTATTTAAAGTTGGGTGGGTCATACTACACTATGCGGTATTTAAAGCTGGGTGGGTCATACTACACTATGCGGTATTTAAAGCTGGGTGGGTCATACTACACTATGCGGTATTTAAAGCTGGGTGGGTCATACTACACTATGCGGTATTTAAAGCTGGGTGGGTCATACTACACTATGCGGTATTTTGGCTGGGTGGGTCATACTACACTATGCGGTATTTAAGGCTAGATGGGTCATACTACACTATGCGGTATTTAAAGCTGGGTGGGTCATACTACACTATGCGGTATTTAAAGCTGGGTGGGTCATACTACACTATGCGGTATTTAAAGCTGGGTGGGTCATACTACACTATGCGGTATTTAAAGATGGGTGGGTCATACTACACTATGCGGTATTTAAAGTTGGGTGGGTCATACTACACTATGCGGTATTTAAAGCTGGGTGGGTCATACTACACTATGCGGTATTTAAAGCTGGGTGGGTCATACTACACTATGCGGTATTTAAAGCTGGGTGGGTCATACTACACTATGTGGTATTTAAAGCTGGGTGGGTCATACTACACTATGCGGTATTTTGGCTGGGTGGGTCATACTACACTATGCGGTATTTAAGTCAGTGTGGGTTATGTCATACTAAGCCACCAGGCATTTACGTCAGGGTGGGTCACACCAGATGATGCAGTATTTACGTCAGGGTGGGTCACACCAGACAATGAAGTATTTACGTCAGGGTGGGTCACAACAGACAATGCTCTATTTACGTCAGGATGGGTCACAACAGATAATGCACTATTTACGTCATGGTGGGTCACAACAGACAATGAAGTATTTACGTCAGGGTGGGTCACACCAGACAATGAAGTATTTTACGTCAGGGTGGGTCACATCAGATAATGAGTATTTACGTCAGTAGACAATGTATTTACGTCAGGGTGGGTCACACCAGACAATGCACTATTTACGTCAGGGTGGGTCACACCAGACAATGCAGTATTTACGTCAGGGTGGGTCACACCAGACAATGCAGTATTTACCACAGGACGGGCCATACTATATTATGTAGCATTTAAGTCAGGGGAAGTCATACCAGACAATGTTGTATTCAACGCGGTGAGTGTGTAAAATTTAGGGAGTGGTTTTACTCTTCCACATCGGCAGAACCGCCATTCACTTAATTTGTATAATAAAGCTAGTTTAAACTCATATGACGTGATAGAGTACCAACACGTGATACACGAAAAGCTCATCATGACTTGTTTCCCGATTTGATTTAGCAACATGGTGGCGAGTAGATTGGGTATATTTGCTATAGTCTCCTCCAATACGAGCAGCGCTCCGTCGACCTTGACTAATGTAGTCCAGTCACGCTGAACGGGTAATCTATTTAAAGGGGAGACTGGTCCTTTTGCATCACTTGTGTCACCGCTGTGGAGAGAGCTAGTCGGAGCAAACATGCCTCAATACAAGCTGATTTACTTTGACTTCCGTGGACGTGGGGAGCTGTCGCGGCTGCTGTTCGTACTCGCGGGACAGGAATATGAAGACGTCAGAATCAAGATGAAAGACTGGCCAGCGCAGAAAGGCAGTGAGTAGGCTGAGTGGGCTTAGTGAGTGAGTGGCTGGGTGGTTTGGTGAGTGAGTGAGTGGGTGAGTGTGTGGTTGAGTGGTTAAGTGAGTGGTTGGTTGGGTGGTTGGTTGGGTGGATGGTTGGGTGACTGGTTAAGTGGTTGAGTGAGTGGTTGGTTGGGTGGATGGATGGGTGATTGGTTGAGTGAGTTGTTGTGTGAATGGTGGCATGGTTGGTTGAGTGAGTGGTTGACTGAATGGTTGCGTGAGTTATCTGTTCAGTGAATGGTTGAGTGAATGGTTGAGTGAGTGGTTGAGTGAGTGAGTGGTGTCTGCCGTGACAATATCTGCCGTGACAGGATCGTGGATTCCATTTAGCGTTTAACCGTGGAACGGTCATCTAATACGACGAATCGAAGAGTTTCATGCAGGGAAGAACATGGAATGCTACTATGACAACTGTTTAAACGATAAAACACAGCATGCAGGGTTTTAGTTTTGTTTCATTCCAGAGTACGTGTTCGGCAGACTTCCGGTGCTGGAGGTAGACGGAAAACAGTACGGGCAGAGCATGGCCATCGCAAATTTCCTGGCCCGGCGGTTTGGTGAGTCATGTGCCTTTCAGAAATAACCAATTAATTGTATGACAAGTCCTCTTTTATTTGTAATTTGATTTGTAATGGGAGGGGAGTGAGTGAGTTTAGTTTTACGCAGCCTTTTGCAATATTCCAGCAATATCACGGCGGATGTTTCACAATTTGCACCCATGCTTGGAATCGAACCCGGGTCTTCGGGGTGAAGAGCGAACGCTTTAACCACTAGGTCACTCCATCGTCCCTGACTTTTAAAGGTTTGGTGTATGAACAATGATAGTTCATCGCTGAAATAATGCCGATGTGATGTTAGCTGTTATCTCGAATTACTCTCAGTGGCCACTGGGACATCATAGGGAGAAGACAGCATCGATAACAGGTTTCTGGGTTGAGGTGAGGTGAAATCGGCTATTTGGACAATACGTGATCGTTTTGTAATAGCTTCTTTCTTACTTACAACACGACGCACATACGCGTAGAGGAGGCGTGGGATGAAAGACTGAGATGTACAGACTTCAAAAGGATTAAGTGGTATGTCTATGCAATAGATTAGTATTGAGAAGAATTTTGAGATACTAGATTAGTATTGAGATACTAATCTCCTGATCTCTGTACATCTCCATCCTTAATTCCATCTCACTGGCCTCCTGTACGCACTCTATATTCTGCTTGTAAGTCATATTTTGTCCATTCACCTCATGAAGTAAGAAGTAGTAGCCCAGTCATATAAGTCATATACACGTTGTAAATCCATACCATACGTTGTTATGTTACCATCCACCTTATAAGAGCATATCAAGCATGTGATACATAGAGAATCTCACCCAAGTGTCTTCTGATATCAATTATATCAACACGAGTTGATAAAGTTACAAATATCCGAGGCTTGCCGAGGATATTTTTACTTTATCAACGAGTGTTGATATATTGATATCAGAAGACACGAGGGTGAATTCTATTATCATCAAAATCACTGTCCATTAATTTTCAATGAAAAATGTACATCTTTGAACATGGTACTGCCATTAGACTTGCAGTGCAGCGATGTCACGGCATTGTGACGTCATCAAGTACATGACATCATAGCATTGTCAGGGCATTGTACAAAATCTACTGTCAAAACGATATCTCCTAGGAGATATCGTTTGATCTCACACAAGCGATATCTCCTGTGGAACACAGTTTTGGATGATAAATTCTGATCAGTGTGATATCCGATTTATTAACCAGGTCTCCACGGGAAAACGGACGTTGAAATACTGGAGGTTGACCAAGTCAATGGAATAGTAGCCGACATTCTTGCAGTCTTGGTTCCAGTCTTCCTGGAGAAGGATGAAGCCAAAAAGGTGACGTTGCCTAGCAACATGTTACGTGTTATAATTCTCTGCACATCCTGAATTAAAGAGTCAGAAGGCTTTGAACAGAAAATATATATGAAGGATTTTTGGATATGCAGCAAACGTTTCCAACGAACACGCATGTAACCAAGTGGGTTTTTTCATCCAGATCACTTGCTTTGTACACTCTTCAAAAAGAAACGCATATGTGATTTTGAGAATATCGGACTCAAATTATTTTTTTGATGTAAATGCTATTACGCGGAACCGAGCAAAGAACAGTTGAATATCGCGACTTCGAGATGTGTGGTGAATGACGGCTGACGTTTGGTTTTGATCACGTTACTTTGGTCATGTGCCCCATTGCAAATAGTTCAGGCAGCACGCGATGTAGATTCATTAAACAGTGAGTAATATCTTCAACGGGTGAGTAATAAAAGGGAATAAAACATGGACCCGTCGCTCAGTATGTCAGTGTAGGATAGCCATTTTACATTGCGACATGGTACGTCAGTGTTCTGGCACAATCCGGCATAATCCGGCTGCGATGTCTGTATGCGCGTACGCACGTACGCACCGACGCACGCATACACAAATACAGGCCATATTTATCTTATCAAGTACATTAGTCTTCAAATGTGAAACAATTGATTTTACAACAGATAATTTCATGTGATGAAAATTCTTTAAACGTTTTACTTAGCTTGGTCGCCTTAGTATGTAGATCAATGTATTTTATGTGAGTAATTTTGCAATAACTGTCTATTGTTTATATTGATTTGTTTGCAGGCAGAGCTTGCAAAAGAAAACAATGAAACAAACATACCAAAGTTCCTGGGCTTCCTAGAGACTGTGCTGAAAAATAACAACACCGGATTCTTCGTGGGCAGCAAGGTATGGCAATCGACATAAACAGTTCGACAATTGGTAGTGTCAACATAAAATAAAAGATTTTATAAAGGTTTCGTTATCAAACGTTACTAGTCTCAAAACAGTCGTTGAAATATTGCAGACATAAGGTCTGCATCACGTCAATGATATCCCTATCAACTGCATCCCCATCAAATTATTGTTTCATGTTTGTTTCATCCAACTTGGGTGTATACTTTCATTTCCCGTATCTGTGAAGATCCGGGTTAAAATCGATCTTCAGTAAGTCATGCTTGTCTTAAGAGGCGACTAACCTGATCAGGTGGTTAGGCTCGCTGGCTTGGTTGACACATGTCATCATCGTATCCCAATTGTATAAACCGATGCTCATGCTGTTGATCACTGGACTGTCTGATCCAGACTCGATTATTTACAGCCCGCCGCCATGTAGCTGGAATATTGCTGAGTGCAGCGTAAAACTAAATTTACTTACTCACTCACTCACTCACTCACTCAATCTTTCTCCGTCACATAAATATAACATGCTGAACGACATTGCTCAAATACATGTGATTTAAGCATACGAAAAGCACAAGGCAAGAAATTCAATGTATTCACATCATGTTTCAAAATTCAAGGACAGTTCGCTGGATATTGTCCATAGGCGGATCAAGAAATGTTCACCACCTTGGCTCCGCCATTGCAAAACATTAACTTTAATGTGGACTTTAGTCATTTTCAAAGGGGCCCCTCCCCCTCCCTCCTGTATCGCCACTGCAATAACTTGTTGTATACATATATTGTCTGTAACGAAATCACCAAGAACTTATTATCAATATTGAGCTGTCCCGAGTTCCCAATAAGTTATAAGTTTAGATAATCTTAACATGGTCAGTACTGACAGGTTTTACCAAAGTGATACGATTTTATAGTAAGCGAACCGTTTTGGTGAGTCTCCCAATAACAAGGTTGCAAGAATAAAACCAGCCATGTATACTACACACTAGACGTTATAAAACACCCGTTATTCTGAAGTTACTCATCTTTACCTTCTTTTGAGTAGTATACATACTCACTTCCAAAAGAAACGCGAATCATGTGAAACTGTGATAAGGTATTGAAAAAAAATGATTGATGTTTGCTTATGAAAACACTTCGTCTTGATTTATGTCTTATTTCATGTCATTCAGGCTCACTGACTTTGTTGACACATGTCATCGTTTTGCAATTGCGTAGATCGATGTTCATGCTGTTGATCATTGGATTGTCTGGTCCATACTCGATTATTTACAAACCGGCACCCTCTAGCTGGAATATTGCTGAGTGCGGCGTAAACCTAAACTCACTCATTAGTTCATGCAATTTGCAACATTTGTAATATTCGCGTTTGTTTTTGGTATTCAGTATATGTTAAAAACACGGATAAATGCTCAATATCACTATACCTTTGAGCGAGTTTCATGAGAAAATGGTAACCTTCTCAACATGTAAATATTGAAGCATTAACCTAAATGAGATGAAGAGCATATCTTTCTCTTTTGTGCGATTAATTTAAACGATTTTCAGCAAGTCATAATGAATTTTTATTTTGACAAGTCGTCAGTCATTTGCAAAGTACTGAGATCATATTTTAAAATGATCTTTCCAGATTGGATATGCCGATGTAGCTGTTTTCGATGTACTTGATGCTGCTGGCGCTTTGAAAGGCCTGGTAGATGGCTTCCCGTTGGTCAAGGCCAACGTAGAGAAGGTCAAGTCTAATGCAAGAATAGCCCAGTATTTAGCCAAACGACCGCAAACACCGATGTAGATGACAAATACCTGGAAGAAGAGCAACTATTTCTTTAATATATACTTTAATTGGCACGCATCATATCGACAACACATTTTTGTCGAAGAAAAGAATAAACGTGTGCCGTGGCTCCTACCTTTACTTGACATGGATTAGAATAAAAGTATAAACTGTAACCGTTTTGTATTATTTTTTGTTCTTTTGTAACGATACAGGCAAAGATGTTCCTGTCACTTAAGCATGTCATGAAGATATCGTTTTTGTAATTCTTAACAGTCGTTTCTTGTATGAGTGAGTGAGTGAGTTTAGTTTTACACCGTTTTAGCATTATTCCAGCAATATAACGGCGGGGACACCAGAAATGGGCTTCACGCATTGTATCCATGTGGGGAATCGAACCCGAGTCTTGGGCGTGACGAGCTAACGCTTTAACCACTAGGCTACCGCGTGACCCATTCTTGCATGAGAGATTAATTTTGAATAGTTTTCATTGTTGTTGTTGCAAGTTTCCTTGTCATTGTTTGAAATGAAGTTTTTGTGATTGTGATGAGAGTGTTTTGGTGCTTTAAAATGCATTTCATTAACTGAACTGAACTAAACTGAACTGAACAACAGTGCATGTTTGATGTGGGAGAAGCAAGAATGGTCGGCTGGATAAACTGACGCTCAAAAGAAAGTACACACCTGGTTTGGGGCGATTTTTTTCCAAGCAACAGCGGAAATATATTTAAACGTGTTTTGATTGTGAATGACAAAGTCACAAATATAGTTGCAAGCAACAATGAAGGCTCCTTGGCTTTAGTTCTATCTAGCCTATTGTGTCTGTCACATATCTGATGAAAGTAGTAATAGTTTTAGTTAATATGAATCATATCACTGCTAGTCGAATGCTCTCCGACTGGAAGTACTGGAAGGTCTCTAAGTTTCGATAAATTCGTCACAAAACCTTTCTTCTAAGATTAAAAATATCACTTGGGTATCACGACATTCAAAAACAGAAGAACCCTTAGTTCAAACAAGCTATCTTAATTACCTCTAACAATCATGAAGAAGATATGTTCCAAACGGTGATACTTTTCACATGCACCGAAGAACAGAAACTGATCAGCTAAAGTTTGAGATACATACGGCTAATTTTCATTGTGTTGTCTAGAGAACCGATGAATATAGCAACTAAAGTGTGGAAAATATAATTTCACTTGTCCCTCTGTTGTCTTTAGAGATACATTACTGCAATCGGTAGTTATAATCGACACTATAATAATAATAATAAGCCATTTATATAGCGCCTTTCCACGTCACAGGGATGTGCTCAAAGTGCTTCCTGAGCTAATAGCCCACTTATACAGGTACATTTTGGTCGAATCAATCGGACGGTTGGTTTCAGATTTGCGGGTGTTTGAACTGTATTTGAGGGCTAGAAATCGTCCAAAACGGAGAGCCAGAAGACGTTTTTGATAGCGAGCGGATCTTCCAAATACAGCCGGGGTCACGGGGGTCATGTACCTTTTAAAAGGTTCTGGAGAAGAAATAGTTAAAAGGGTGTATCTCAGTTGTTCTTCGGTCTACGGTCAAAACAATTAGTGTTCTGGAATCACTAAGAGTTCATCTATCGTCCTGGCAGAATTTGCATAATGCTTACTGGACATCAGTTTTGGAAAGTTTGGAATGTCTACAGCTGATGGTTCGAGCTCAGCACATTTTGGGAGCAAATTACTCAGAAGACTACTGATAAACATGGCCAAAAACTGAAAACAAAAATAACTGCCACTCGTAATCGCCAAAATGTGATTCTTAAAGAAAATATCAATATGAGATGTCGATTATGTATGAATTTACAGAAACTGTCAAACACCTTGTCAGTGGATGCCCTTCTTTGGCACAAACAGCATCTTAAACGACATGATGGCATGGCTCGTTGCTTTTACTACCGTCTCCGCCATGTCTGTGGCTTTGACTCCGAGGTCCATCCATGGTATGACCCTGAACAAGGGCGTCATGGAAAACGACAGCTTTAGATTTCTCTGGAACAGGCCCATATACAGCCTCAGAAGAATTCCATCCAACAAACCTGATCTTGCCCTTTTTGATAAAGCCAATGAATTTATATATATCATTGAATTTTCTGTCCCTTTTGACACCAATGTGATTGGCAAGATTCAGGAAAAGCATACTAAGTATGCGGACCTCGCCTTTGAAATGTCTCGCTTGCATCCCAAGTACACTTTCGTCAGGCTCCCCATTGTTCTCGGTGCCCTTGGTTTGGTACCTCCTGATCTCTTGGCGTAGATCAGGAGAGTGCCCGCGTTCTCCACCGGGAAGCATAGCCCTTCTGACACTCTGGGTAATGCAGAAGGCTGCAGTGTTGGGAGGCCTTCACATTCTCTGGAAAGTTCTTGGTGGGTTCAACTAGGCAGCGTTTCCTGGGAGAAGTCCCATTCGCTGTCTGGGCTACGTGTAGAGGGGGCAAGGGCCCTGAGTTGATGATGAGCCTTACCAGCCTGAGTGTGCCAGGATCACCCGAATCGAACCCTCTCTGCTGCATTTTCATCTTTATCTGTAAAACATAATAATAATCCGACCGATTACAATAGGTCTCCTGCCTAGAGGCAAGGAGCCCTAAATACTGTAAATCATGAAATTAATGCGTCACGAATTTAATGCGAGTGCGAGGGTCTAGTCTAAAATGCGTCACGAAATTAATGCGAGCTCAGGAATCTGTTTTGATGATAAAATGTGACACCCTGAATCTTTGGTGTTGTTCTTTTTCTTTTCACACTTGTTATTTACCAAATAACCTGAGTTGAGCTTGTTAAGCAATGAATTGAAATGAGCTGACGATGTTTTGATTACGCTGCCATGTTTGATCACGTGATTGCTTGCTACTACTTGTCTTATGACAACATGTATAAACGTATTGAGTACCATAGTACCTGTTGTAGACTTTCTTTAGTAAGTCCGTATATATAACCCACGCATTGCATACATACAGTGGTATTGGCTGAGGTCTCTTGGGACTACATAGCACAGGCGTTGTTACGACGTAAATTGTCATTAAACGTAAATCGTAATACTTGCAGCATATTGTAAGAAGCCTTGACGTAAATTGTAATTAAAATTGATGTAAATTGTAATAAAAAATTGACGTAAATTGCACGGAGCAAATTGTATTAAACATTTATGTACATTGTAATTATTTTAGTTGTGGTAAAATGTAATAAATATTTATGATTATTCCTAAATACGCGTGTGTTCGTTTTTCGCTGCATTTCATATATCATATGATAACTCAAGAAAGAAATGATGGATTTTGTACAAATGTCGTACCAAGGTGTAGTGGCGAGATTCACCGACACCAGGTGAATTTAGTAACCTTGAGATAATTTGCAAGGTCACAGCGAAAATCTGAGGGTTTTACCAATATATAGATTGTTAGCGCGATAATTCAAGAAAGAATTGACAGATTTTGCTTAAAAATGGTACCAAGGTGCGTTTTGTTAACGCCAGTCGAATTCAGTGAGCTTCAGATAATTTTCAAGGTAACAGGGAGTATTTGTACGATATCTCAAAAACTAAAGGATGACATTTGGTATCAATCCGATGACCTTTACATAATTTTCAGGGTAACACAGAAGATAATTGCGACATTCAGATATCGACTTACTGGCCGGGTGGGGTGGGTTGGGGTGTGGGTTGGGGTGTGTGTGTGTGGGGGTGTTGGATGGGAAATAGCGTGTGACAAACACGTTTTCATTACGGATTTTCAAAATATTGTTAGCATTTGTTTTCTATAATTTCATGACACGTCTTAAATATACCAGAGATTATTTGTGTATGTCTTGAATATTAAAGTTAATTGTTTTTCATTATGGAGCTATTTTCAATGATGACGCAAGGACACGTTTTATGAGCAATAGCTTTCAATAATTTAATGTTAATTCTATTACATTTTGAAGTTTTTTCTTCATGGCACATTAAAAAAAACCCCCAAGATATTGACATGTTTGTTTATGCTTTGAAAGTACGTTTATTCTTCTTCATTTTGGAATTATTTTCAATGTTTACGCAAGGACATGTCTGAAGTTAATTTGATGTTTTGATCATATGGGATTTATTATGATTTATGTTTCGATCATACTTTCATATATTACGTTGTCACAGTTTAACCTGGTTCGCATCATTTTCTTCATCATATTGCTATTCTTATGAGTGGGAAATTTATGTTATATATATACTCTCCAAAAAAAGAAACGCATCATGAAAATAGCATTTTCATGTAGCAATGAATTAAAACGTGATTCATTTTACCAAAGGTTTTTTTCTGTTTATGAGTCCTATGGTGTTTATGTTTTGAAACATCACAACAAAACGCACCATCCGTAAAATACCCGTATTTAACAGCATGATTTTCAATTTCGGCGTGTAGTGTCACAGAATACACAATTCACATGCAATGCACGTGAAAGTTGGGGATCAGATAGTCTCAATGATGGGTATTAAAGGTTGATCGCTGTCTGTCGATTATTCACTGTATTTGGAATATTGTTGATGAACGCAAAATACCACGTCTAAGTGAAGCCAACCGTTGGTTTGCTTGAAGCTGGCCAGTCTCAACGTGCAGTTGCCCGACGCATGAATGTTCACCAAAGCACCATTTCACGGCTCTGGGAGAGATATCACCGGCAGAATGCGGCAGCAGATGCCCCTCGTAGTGGGCGACCTCAAGCGACCACTGCGGCGCAGGATCGCTACATCCGGGTACATCATCTGCGTCATCGAAGAGCTACGGCGACCAGTATCTCTCGACAAATACCCGGATTGAGGAGGCTTTCTGCACAGACCGTCAGGAACAGGTTGAGAGAGGCTGGTTTACGTGCCAGAAGACCTTATTTTGGCCCTGTGCTTCGACAACAACATCGTCGACATCGAGTTCAATGGTGCACCAACGTTTAGGCCTGGAACCTATCGAATTGGCGTAGACTCTGGTTCAGTGATAAATCACGATTTCTATTTGAACGACGCGATGGAAGAATGCGGGTGTACAGACGTCGACGTGAACGTTTCACCGACGCTTGCGTTCCCCAGGTGGACAGATTCGGCGGGGGAAGTGTTATGATGTGGGGGAGGGGGGGGGATCACCTGCCGTAGGAGAGGTGATTTGGTAATGATCCAAGGC